GCCTCCTTAGGATTTTTGAGAGGGGAACCTTGTCCTTCTTGTCTACTTCCGCTTCTTCGATGGCCAATACACTTACATATTTTTCCTCGTCTTAGCCTATCATTGTTATCGGCAATAAATTTGGAAAACCTGGAGCCTTCGCATCTCCCTGCAGAAGGCTCACGTAAAATAGATCCCAGTCTTATGACCGCTCGGCAGAAGGTCACAAAGCTTTTTCTAAAATCAATAGCAAGGTATTTAAATTAACATTCATAAACTTATTCGAAAAATATCAACATTCAAATGTGGGTATTATACACCGAATAAGATCATCTTCAAAATATATTACCGCTGTAAAGAATTCAAAGTGTAACGTCATTCAGAACACTGAAACTTTGATGCTCCTCCGGGGCTGAGATGTGTGATGGACAGAGCCCGCTTTCTAGCAAATGGTTCAAGAACTGTGGGAATCATCCATGTACTTTTGTAATAAACAAAGAAAAACTTTTTCCTCCATTCAAAAACCTTATTCTCTAACAATGCCATCGTTACCTGCATAAAGAAAAACATTACCATTTGATCTTTAAATGTCCAGGGACGAAGCAGGTTGCGGAAAACGTTCACCGATCAAAATAACCTCTTATGCCACCAACATTGCATTGGCTATCGAGTTCGGGTGAATCTAAGAAGGAACCAACTCGATGAAGATGAGAATATCCACTACTTCCTCACAAAACGGAAAGTGAAGAGAAAGACAAAATTGGCCTTGATAACAACCAACCTCTTATGGAAGCATGGTGTTAGGACATTCATCCTCCCGAGGCATTTGAAGAATGTAAGAATCATCGAAGATGCAGTCTCTCTATAGTGTGACAAGAAATTCCACAATCAATGACGCTCAAAAAAACGTCTTTAAAGAATGAAAGTTCATGCTACTATTCTCTACAGCAGTAGTGACCATCTCCTGCTCCGGACAAGAATCCTTAAGATTCAATATGGTTACAGAAAGAAAATCGCAAGAAAAAGAAACTAGGGTATGAAACATAAGGGTTGGAGAATAGTACAAAAAAAATTAAAAGAATGTGCAGAATTTGAACCGACAATATTCTCTTATACTACCATAAGGGTAAAAATAGAAATACGATCTAAAGTCAAAAAAGGCACAACAAGTCAGAAATGATTTACATTCGAAAGATTAGAACAGAACAAATTAGCCACTATCACAAAGTAAACACACCCATATCATGAAATTAAGACTATCTACCCTCTCCATATATAAATGCCTAAAATAGTCAATATCACAAAGTACCACTCAAAGAACAAAAAAAAAATAGAAATATAAAATCACATTACATAAAAAAAGCCAAGACTGTGGCTTTTTATATCATTAAAATTAATTTTACTAGACTACGGAAGCCTCTTCATGACTAGTTTCCTCCTGCAAGAAACTGCCTTGATCAGAGCAATTCCACTTGCCAACGAAGGAGCTACAACATCGATTTCATTTCCTCTAAATCCCTGCAATTTTTTTTGAATCACCATTTAACTCATCGCCAACTTTTCCTCCGAGGCAATGAAGTGCTCCTTGGCTCTCCGCAAGTCATCTACCACATCCATGCCATGGTCTTCCATGTCAAACAACATATCTTTAAAAAGCATCACCTTATCCTTTGAGATCACTAGACCCTCTCAAACTTCTGCGAGCTCTTCTTGAGTTTCTACAAGTTCCTCTCTAATCTTAACTAACTCCTTGTTGACAGCAAATCATCCCTCAAGTGACCTAGTGGTCAATAGAATCAGCATTATCGGTAGTCGAAGAAGAGAGCACAGGCTCCATCATCAATGGTCTAATTTTAGCAATGGTCGTTGGCTCCTCCTACATGAGCAGTCCTTCAGAAGCAACGAGCTTCACTCCCATGGAACTACCCTCACTTATAATAAGCTCCTTCACAACCAACTCATTTGCAAGTGAAAAAGGATCGTAAGGTGTAAAATTGCTGCATCGCAAATGCGAGGTAACCAATAGTAGCTTTGGGCGCCATCTCACCAGTGGGCAATCAAATCTCGACCACTAGTTATGGAATGCATCCTTCCATCTTTTCAACCTCTTCCATAATGGAATTCTTGAGAAAAATCTTAGGATCAAGCCACTTCTTAACAAATTTCTCTACAGCAACACATTTGAGTATTAAAAACTTAAGAAGACTAGAATAAAAAAAATGTTGAATCTCCAGTTGCCAGACTCACCTCTAAGAGCATAAGTTGGAGACTTTCCAATCATTCAGGGATTAGAAATTTGCCCTACAACAATGGCCTTCGAGTCAATAGCTACTGGCTCCACAAGAGCAGGATGTGGGGTCATTAGCGACGCGAGCATCTCTTAAGGAACCATTTCATTCAGATCAACTTCCAAGACCAGAGTCAGAATCACTATTCTCTTCATTATATAATATGACTGTTCTTCTGCTTCAACAGACTTCAAACTCTAAGTTTCGTCATTCCTCCATTCTAACTCTTGGGAACTCTTAGAACATTCCCCTCTTGTCAGCCTTTGATGCACAACTGTCTTTAGTCATTCCTCATTTATTTCCATCTCTTCATTAGAGATTTTCCCATTGGAGCAAGATCGAAGTAATGGTGAACTCTTAAGTTAAAACAAATGAGCACAAAAACAAAGCCTCTAACTTACAGTTTCAAGAAGGACTTCCACGGTTATTATATATCGCACAATGAGTTAACACAAGAAACCCTTCTTATAGCCATTGAAATTAATTTTGTCATTATTAACATTAATTCTTTCTCTTATAACCAGATAAGAGATGCATCAATGTACATTGCAAATGTTGACGTGGCATCTTCCTCAAATGATATGATAGTTATTCTCTGACAACATCAAAAGGCCAATATCAACAAACCATTCATAACAAGAAATACTTAAACTTTACACTCTATTCCACCACTTCTTAGGATACCTCCTAGTGATTGAAACAAGTCATATCCCTCATTTTCTATCAAACGACATGCATTCTTACCTAGGGTAACTCGGCAAGTTGAAATTCTTCTATATCTCATATGGGTTATAACAAGGAAATGAGTCACTTGCACCACCTAAAATACAAAAGCTTTTGAATGAGAAACAATCCACAATTACTCGAGAGCATTTGTGACTACTCCCTGTAGGTATAGCTTTTGAGCGCCAGAGAAAGGACAGTCCGAGCTCGACAATAAACACTTGCAACTACTCTTCAAGGTATGGCCAATAAAAACTTATAGAAAGCACGATTTCTATTGAATATGAACCACTATGTCTTTAGAAATTTTCTGAAAGAGCAAAGCACTTACTGCAATCATATAATCAGCTGAGTCACGCATAAAGGCGACATATTCTCTTATTTTCTCTCATTCTCGCATTCTTCTTACAGTATCCTCTCAAAGAATGAGAATTTGGAAACTAAATATATGTCTAAAAATGAATTTCGTCATCTGCAGGATAGCCCAAGTATTAAATGGTTCACATGAGCCTAATCACTTGAGCCCATTATCGTGACTTTGACGGAGCCGATCGCAATAATTAGTCGTACTATTGGAGGTAGCAAACTACAGAATATTTTGTTGTTTCAAAGGACCTAGTGATTTTTTTTTGAAGCACGTCAACATTCACACGAGTCCCTCCTATAAGGTTCACTAATCCTGAGCCTTCATGCGAGCTCCTCCAGCCAATCTCGGTCATAGTTCTCATGTTATTTTATTAAGATCACCTGCATCAATAAAGTCGTCCTACCGAGTTTATCAATACTTACCTAGCTACTTCACCGACCTCAAGGAATAGTTCTTTAAGACAGAAGGTAGCTAGAGAACTCTACTTCATCATCACACATCTCTTTATTGTCCATCTGGCATTCATGCCAAGGATCTTGTCAACATGTATCTCTCGGCCTCGTATAGTACAACCTATAAACATAGTCCTTTATTTATTCTTTAGAGCCCTGCATGCATGCTTTATGATGTATAAATAACAGATAAAAGGGGAGAAAAAAGACCCTAGTTCCTCTTCCTCCTTTTCGTGACCATAGCTAAAGAAAAAAACTCTATAAGGATCTTCAACTTCCTTCCACCAATTACATAAGAACTCTGCTGGATTAAATGGAATCACGAATTATACAAAATCACACGCCCTAATGGAATTCAACACTTCCCAATTTGTTTTATGTTATGCATTAAGCTGTATTAGTGATTGGCTTCTATTTATGAATAAAAAAAATTATCTTCCATAACTTTTGTGATTCATATTATTTGTGTAAACATATTTTTATTAGTAAAAAACATGTTTATACTTTTATTTATGCCATCCCATGTTGCACGGATGTACCACCTTCCAGAACTTAAGTGTGATACTACACATCCTGCACTCTTAAAATTGTAATTCAATGTCAAACTCTCCCAAAAAGTTACTCCAAAACAATCACGAGCATTTAGCTCAGCAATCCAAAAAAAAAAAAAAAAGAATAAAAAGTCGAAGCGAAAGCAAATTAAGCACAAGCGTAAGAAAAGAAGCCACTCATCTTGGAAGAGATCAAACTTCTCTTATATAAAACGTAGAGATCCAAAATGGATGGTGCGGAATAAAATGTTTGCGAGGGCTTAAATTGGATCAAAGTGAACTATACAATTCCTTACTTCTCAGTTACCGAACGAGGTTTCCCTGGCAACGAACTCCTCCACAAATTCGACGGTGATGCTCATCGGCTTGTCGAGAAGTATAGCGATCGCCCTTCTGCCGGAAAACAGACTCCCATTTCCCGCTCGGTTAGCTCTCGCACTATTTAATAGTATTACCAGTTCACTCGGAATACTTAGAACAACTATGCGTGTTTTCCTCATATGCGGTCATTTCTTTAACCCTTAAATGACTAATGTACCCACAAGTTAGAACAATCTTTTCTAATAAATATAGGGCTATTTTAGTCAATTTATAATGAATGCATACCCAGGGCATATCTCTAGGGTTCTCACTTACCGGGATCGGGCCCCTTCTTCCGTGCGTTCTCCGCCGAGTCCAGTTATGGTCGCCGGCGACGGCAAGTAATTCTCCATCTCCGGCTTGCCGGAGAACTCAATTACACTTACGAGGCGTCCTTTCAAATTTTTTTTTTGTCCTGCAGCCACTGCCGAGCGCTGCCTACCATCGCTCTTTGAGGTAATTATAGTTAGCTTGCTCGTTCGGTAATTTTCTAGCGTGGTCCATCTATGCAAACCTTCTTCTTCCGGGATTAAGCTTCTCTTTCGGCATAATCTCAAGAAATCCGTTTTTAGCATTATTGCTTTTGCCTTGCTGCTCTACATTTATTCTATAGAAGGACTTTGTTTCACGTTAAGTGTTTGAAATATCTACCACCAAAAGTGACTTGTTGCACTGGAGTTATACTTGTATTTCTTTGTTTTAGAATAACTGACTTTATGAAGTCAATTTTTTATATTTATTTTAGTGGAAATTGATTTCATTTTCACTTATTCTCACATTATTTTGCTTTTAATTTTTTCAAACATATATTGTCTGTCATTCCATCAATTTAGTATTGTTTTATCATTATTAAAATAAAAATTTTTAAAGGCGCTTCTTAGCTTGAAGACTAAACCTCATTTTTTACCTATAAGAATGTGAGTATTGACCGTGAAAACCCAATTTCATCAAGTTTCAACCAAAAAAAAATGCTTGAAATCACTTTTGTGGGTGAGATTCAATTGGTTTTTCATCATGCATAACTTTATTAGTGTCAATATATTGTTGATCTAAATTTCTTAACTTATTGTCTACCAAATTAGTTATCAAGGTAGTTTATCATATGCAACTCCAAGATCAATAAATCATATGGAGATCATCTAGTTGCTTTATATACATTTTTTTCTTTACTACCTTCACATCAAGTTGGTTTCATGGTAGAACTATTGCTTACATACATTAAATTGATTTTTTTGGTATTGGTATGATTCACTAATCTTGCATAGAAGTTTTTCCTTTAGTTAGAATTAATGCATGGTCTAATATGATTTATTTTTACGCATTGTTTGAAAGTTCTTTTTTGGCATTTAATATCTCGTCACTACAACTTCTCCATTTCATATAATAGTTATTTTGAAAACTCTCCTTAAACTTATTTGACAATCTTCATAATATAGCTTGTCATTTTATCTAACATCATTGTTTTTTCAACTTATCTGAACAAAATGGTGTGTTTTAATCTTATCAAAAGTTTTCCTTTCCTCTTGGCAGAGGATCGAAAAGTTATGATTTAGTCTGTCCTCTTTTTGAATTAGAAAATGTTTTGGTATTACTAGATAATATGTTACTTAATTCTTTTGTTTCTTTTCCCTTCATATTTATATCCCCTTATTATTATCAACCATGAACACGTTGGATCCTCTCATAATCGATACTATTATAACCACAAGTCCAATAAATCACCACTAATTATTATATTATTTTTCTTAGATATATGTAGTACCCCATCATATTTTCCCAAAATTGAATTTTCAAATTTTCTTCTGTTTCAGCTTAGAGAGAATGAGTCCTAGCTACATTTAGCTAATAACTTCATTGATTTTTTCCTTAATTTCAATCACTTTATCATGAACTTGATTCTCCTCATAATTTTTTCTTTCAAATTTATATATGCTACCATTCATTATTTAATTTTATTACAAATTTTCTCAACATGTAATGGCTTGAAATATTGCATAACATCGACTTATTTTCACTTTTTTTATTTAATATCATTCGTGCATGTGATATTTGCTCTTCTATTTATCGCTATTTTTGTAATTTTGTTCTATTTCTATAGCATCCAAACTAAATAACTTCAAACTCATGTAGCAGGCATGGCCTCAGTTTTATGCTAGTAGTCAATTATGTATGTTATGTGTGGATCAAGATGTTTTCAGCGTTACTTATTTAATTTTGTTGTTTTCAAGAATATCTCAAGAGTCTAAATAAAATTATTTAATTACTAAACTTTGAACGAAACACAATTTGCACTGGGTAGCACGAACCTTGATGTAGGGCACATCGTCAATTAAGGAAACTCTTTTGGATGCAACAAAGCCAGGTTAACTGGGATCGATTGGTTAATGGTAGTTACATAATTAATTCATTTTCATGCAACATTTATTTCCAAATATTTTGGAGAATATGCATTATCAAAATTATTCGGTCTTATTATTTTGGTCAAAATTTAAGATGTGTTGAATACTTCGAACAATTTAGACCTTCCTTTGTTTTCACTTGCTATTCTCAATAGAACGATGCGCTTACTTATAGATACTCTCCATGAAAATAGGTTTCATAGAGTTTGAAATCACTTTTTATCAACATGTTACTACACATAATATTTTTTGTAGCTCTTCTCCATCATATTATTCGGCTCAAATTTCTTGTAGTTGATATTTATTAAAATTGAGCAGTATGGTCTCATGTAGCAATTACAAGATATCTACTTATCGGTGGACCAACTTTTTCTTTTAAGTTTTTTTTCTTTTACATCACCTACAATGTTTATATAGTGGTAAATAAAGCTTCGGGTAAATAATTATCTTATGAATACATTGTTGTACAACTCTAATTTAATGGGCTTGTATAGAGGAAATCAATATTGTGTATCTTAGGAGATTCAGGGTCTGTTTGAGATAGTTTTCTGGTTGTTTTATATTTTAGATTGCCGCTATAGTTTTGTTTGAGGAATTGTTTTTTGTTGCTTTCTAAAATTTTTCTTGTTGCGAGCTTTTTCTTACAACCAAATCTATTAAAGTATGGTGACTATAAGAAATTTTTCATTTAAGTTTTTGAAAACTATAAATATTTATAATTTGCATCATAGCTTTTTAATAAATTATTTTTCTCTCCACAGCTTTATCACCACCCTTACGAAAAGCTGCAACCGTTCTATTTGGTACAACTTTCTATCTACATTGTGTTTTAGATTGCCACTATAGTTTTGTTTGGTGAACTGTTTTGTTATTGTTTCTTAAAATTTTTTTTTAGTGGATGTTATTTTTTTAAACTAGATCTGTTAACATGTGATGGCTATCGGAAACTTGTCTAATTTTTTAGAAAAAAAAGTTTTTTGTAGTTTTTATCACAACTTTCTAAGATATTGCTTTAACCATTACAGTTTTATAATGATATTTACAAGCAAAATTTATAATTCCCATCACAGTTATAAGAAAGTTGTTGTCTGACTCTTTAGAAAAATTAAATTTTTATATATTTCATCACAGCTTTCTAAGAAATTGCTTTCTCCTCCATAGTGTTATAACCTCATTTCCAAAAAAAATAAAACCTTTGAAAACGGACTCTTACTGCCTATTTGGAACAGCTTTCTTCCTACTTTACATTTCAGACTACCAACACAATTTTGTTTAGGAAATTATTTTCTTATCGTTTTCTAAATTTTTTTTTGGGTGAGAAGCAGCTTTTTACAATTAGATTTATAAAGTGTGGAGCTCATCAAAAGTTGTTTGAGTTTTAGAAAAAAATAAATATTTATAATTCACACCACGGGTTTTTCAAGAAATTGATTTACCCATCATAACCTTACAAACAGTTTGTCCCAAACATACCCAATTGCTATCCTAATTTGTTTGGGATTTATTTTGTTGTTTTCTAAGTTTCTTTGTATGCATTATGTTTGTAAGCAAAAAGCCATTAAAGTGAGGAATTATTGAAGCATGTTCTTTGCTGTCTTATGTTTTATGAGAAAGAACAAACAAAATAAAATGACTTCTTTTAGTGGAGCCGTGGAGGATACTTATAACTAGAACTCTCCCTATAGATTATTTCTTTTTGGGGGCATTTACATACATACCTCCTAATTCTTGTATATATACATATCTAGCACCTCAGGTTCACTTCTTACATTTTTTATATTACTAACGTCTTTCATATCGCATCAAAAATATCAACTTTTAAAATGTGAAATTCATCTTTTCATGCATATGCAATGTGGCATTTATTAAAAAGTTGAAGTTTTTCATTTAGAATTCTAAATATATTTGTGTAAATCTTTCTTCTTTGAATTTTTCATTTAGAATTCATTCTTTCCGCATAATATGTTTGAACAAATTTTACTTACAATTGCATTTTTACCACCGGTATGATAAAACAGAGCATGTCTGGGCTAGAACTTTCCATCTTCAGTATTTTATTTTCTACTAGAACACTCTCAGCAACTGAACAGAAACATCAACCATTTACTTGTTTCAGGGTACTGTTTTATTTTCAATGGAATCATCAAATTCTTATTATGAAGACGGCACAGTCGAAACTGATGAAGATTCTGTTGTTGAAAAAGTGAACTTTGATATTAGAACAGATGCTTCTTCTAAAGATTGTGTATCAGGTGATAACGAGATATTGAATTCAATGCAAGCTATGGAAGAACTCAATGTTGGTCATCTAAACCCCGAAGATTCGTCCACCGTTGCTGATGACAGCATGCACTTAGAGCCTGAAGTCGGCATGGTCTTCTACTCCGAAGAACAAGCTTATGATGTCTATAATAAATATGCGAAGAAGAAAGGTTTTAGCGTCCGAAAAGGTCATCTTGGCAGAAGGAAAGACGGCACCATTAGGGATAGAGTTTATCTTTGCAGCTACGAAGGCACCCGTCAGAAGCATTCCACACATAACACGAGAAAACCACGTCCAGTTTTCCGAACAAACTGCATGGCTAGGATCGAGTACAAAGTGAACCGCGATGGAATATGGGTTGTGAACAAAGTCATAAAGGAGCACAATCATCCCCTCATTCGCGAAAGCAAAGCTCACTTGTTAAGATCTCATCGGCGGTTGTTGCTTGCTGCTCAAGATGGCCAACAGGTGAATCAAACTGAGAATTCTTCAGCAAAATCAGCTGAAGTTGTTTCAGGAGGAGGACAAGATTTCGAAAGTGAATCCCCTGTGGGCTTTCTTCTAAGGGTTCAAAGCAGCCATCTTCATACTGATAGGATGAGAGAGCTTGATAAAGGAGAAATGCAGATGCTTCTAGACTTTCTGAGAAGAAAGCAGTTGGAAGATCCATCTTTTTTTTATGGAACTCAACTTGATGACAAAGAACAGGTGACAAACATATTTTGGGCAGATGCGAGATCCATGCTTGATTACTCCTACTTCGGTGATGTGGTTTTGTTTGATACAACATACCGAATTAACAAAAACGACCTTCCAATTGCACAATTTATTGGGGTAAACCATCATAAACAACTTGTAGTTTTTGGTTCTGCTTTACTGCTCGACGAAACAACAGAATCATTTGTGTGGTTGTTTAGGACATTTACGTCTGCAATGTCAGGTTGCCAACCAAAAACAATCCTTACAGATCAGTGCCCTGCAATTGGCAGGGCTGTGATTATGACATTACCAAACTCATCCCATCGTTTTTGTTTATGGCACATTTTGCAAAATGCTGCAAAAAATCTCTCTCATTTATATAGCAGCGATTCCAACTTTCAGAAGGATTTCAAAAGCTACATTTATGAAAGTAGCTCTGAAGATGATTTCCATTCTGGGTGGATTCTTTTGCTTGATAAATATGATTTTGCTGGAAACTCGTACCTTGATGATCTATTTGGAGCTCGTGAAAGATGGGCCTCTGTCTACAATGGAAATACATTTTGCGCGAGTATGATGACTTTGGAGTGGAGCGATATCATGAAGAAGCACTTCAGGAAGCATTTTAACAGAAAATTACCTCTATCAAAATTTATCGAGCAATATTCGAAATCATTATTTCAGTACCATGAGAAGGAATTACAAGAAGATTTTAGATCAAAACAAAGTAGACCTGTGTTACTGGTTGATATGCCAATGCTTAATGAAGCAGCAGAATCCTACACAAGACTATTATATAGGGATTTTGAAGCTGAGTTCAAAGGACAGCTATCGTGCCTCTGTGAACTTATTCGCACTGACGAAATAACGTATATTTTCAGGGTCTCTCTTCCTGAGAAGCGTTGTTACGGAATCGTGGAATTCAGCCCTTCGAATTATACTGTAATTTGCAGCTGTAAGAAGTTTGAGTCTACAGGAATCTTATGCATGCATGCTTTGAAAGTTTTGAATAACAATAACATCCTTCATCTCCCACGTCACTATATTATGAAGAGGTGGACTAAGTATGCTAATGATGGAATTGCGAACGAGAAGTTTCAGTCAATCATCGACGCGAATGCTGCTGAATCTCTGATGCTTCAGTACAGTCGAGTCTGCCACAAGGCGATTATGATTTGTTTAAAGAACTCATGCTCCAAAGTGGGGTTGGGTAAGTTTGAGCACGATGTGGACAAGTTGATGATTGAGGTGGAGAACTCGCTGCATAATTCTTCATTGATCAGGCAAACAGAAGAAATGGATAATTTTGAAGGAATGCAACTGGATGCATCCGAAACAAGGAAGAAAAGGAGAGGGCGAAAAAGTCAATCGAAAGATATTCTTGATAAAAAGTTGAAAGGCAAAGATCAACCATGCTGCACTTCAGGCCAAGTTGACATTTTAGCTCACCCATCCCAAAGTAGAAACAGACGTTCAAACTCAATTTTCATTTACTTTATTGCATATTGTTTTCCATACAAGTAGAGTGTTAAAGTTTTCCCCTGATATTTTATGTTCCAGAGTCTATAGAAGTGCCAAACTCTTTAAATTGTTGTTGAAATAGTTCTCCGTGTTTACTATTTCAGCTCAATTTAAAGAGCCTTGGGACTTAATTGGCTTTTTATAGATTTCAGGACAAATGACTCACTGCAAAGAATTAGGGGACTATTTACAGTCATTTTAGTCCTTGAGTCTATAAGAGTATCAAATAAGTCCCCAAGTTCTTTTATTTGGTTGAATTAATCCTCCATATATACTATTTCAATTCATATTAAAAGGATCTTGGGACTAAACTGACACTTTAAAGACTCTAAGATGAAAATGACCCACTACAAAGAGTCAGAAGACCACTCTGACCTTTTTCTCTTTTCCTTCCTCACCTCGCATATGTATATTTTACATATGCAGGACAAACTAACAATGCATCATTGAGACCGATGGTTGAGGATTCAGCTCACATTTCACCTTTTTATAGAGAAACTACCGCCGCATATTGCAATATCATTTCAGCACAACCTTCTAGTATTTCAGGATGCGCATCGTTCCCGCCCGACACCATATTGCCTCCACAGGTTTAATCCATTTCTCTTTATGCAAATGTGCTTATTGCAAGATGTTACATTGATTGATCTTAATCTGTATGAATTATCTATTGCAGGAATCATTCACTTCTTCACAAGTTATAGTTGATCATACACTTGTTTCCCAAGGAACAAATAGTCCTAACTTGGCATGGTGCTCTTCGAGGGGCAGGGCATCCATCAGTGTACCCGTGCCACTCATGCAGGGACAAAACAGCAGTTATCTTAGTTGGGTTGTTCCAACACACAATATTTCGAATGTCGGCTTGCCGCCGCGACATTTAGAACCATTAATGGTAGGAAGATTATGAACAATTACTTCCCTATTGCTCCTCCGTCGTCATTAACTTTATACGAAAGATTTTGCTTGTTGCAGCATGCAACCGTTCCAAATCAGCATGCATCTTTATCTCGAAAGCTGAACTTTGACATCAACAAAGGTAAGTAGATAATATTTATAGATTGATGGGTAAAGTTTCAAGCTAGTCCTCTGACTATTTATATGGGGTTTCTTTAGTCCTAGAGTTTCATAAAAATATCTTTTAAAAAAAGAGTCTTTAAAAATATCAATTTAGTCTCCATAATTTTTTATATGAGCTGAAATAGTCCTCAATGAGGGCGATTGATGGGTAAAGTTTCAAGCTAGTTCTCTGACTATTTATATGGGGTTTCTTTAGTCCCAGAGTTTCATAAAAATATCTTTTAAAAAAAAGAGTTTTTAAAAATATCAATTTAGTCTTCATACTTTTTTATATGAGCTGAAATAGTCCTCAATGAGGGCTAATTTAGCCCCCCAGTAAAATAGTTGAGGGACTAAAATGACCCCATGCAGATTGTTAGAATATCATTTTGACACTTTTTTTTATAAACTAGATGATGTCAATTTCAGGTAATTGAGCGGGCTCAAATATGCAATAAAGGAACAAGTTAGGACTTGTGAACCTTAAAGATAAGGCTGCAAGTTCTATTTTCTTTAGCAGTTTTGGCTATTCCTTTGTTTGATAAACTAATGTAGAAATCATCACTCATGGTCCTCATCTTCTTTTTTTTTTGTTTTGTCTATATTCTGATTTATGCTCACCAACTTAAACATGTACCTTGATATGTATAGTTCAGTTTAATATAGTGGAAATCAGTTTCATTCTTAAGTAAATTTAATGTATGGCTTCAGTTTGATAAACGTGTGTGCTTCTCACACTGTTCCACCTTATATATTGAATTTATTAATGTATAAACCTTTACTGAAATGGCACACTGAAGCTTCTGACCACCATTGCTTTATCTTCTGTTTTTTGATTCATCCAATCATCCCATTTATGGACCAACTTTACACAAATAGCAGTATTTTGGTTTAGTTCCAATCCAGCTCTTTCTAGAGAAGAACCAAACCAACCAAACCTTTGATCACTTTGATATAGCTATCCTTTATGTTTTGCAAAAAATTTAATGTTATTTTATCATATATTCTTTTTTGTGAAATTTAAGGTTGATTTATTGATTGATGGGACTCCATATTTTGTTCTGTTCTGTCTTTCTTAGATTGGCTTCTCATAAGGAGGAGCTTTATGCAATAGACAACAAAGATATGCCCATTATAAGCAGAGAATATATGGATATTGGGTATGTTAAAAAGGTCAATTTTCTCTTTTTCTGAGGCATGCGCAGCATGATTTGTGGGCTATTTATTGTGACAATGATGATAGAAATGCCTCTTTTCATTGAACATTTGTAAATTTCAAAATTGTAAATATCATTTTTTTCTTTGCATTTATTATTGAATTTTACAATTAGCAACCATAAAAATAGAGTATCTATTAATTAGATTGAGCTGTCAGGAGAAGTTTGATCGGTTAGGCTTTTATTAAAGTAAGCTTCTTGTTTTTTGTTGATGTTATCTTCTTGATGACTTTTTGGGTGGCGCCTGTAAGCCACGGTGCAGAATGGGAATGGCTATAGTTCATGCCGAACATTAATAACTCGGGGCATTTACATACATACCACACAATTTTTATGAATTTACATATCTAACACCATAACTATCTTATTTTCATCCATAGCACTCAAATCTTTCATATTACATAAAAAATGCCACTATTATTTGTTTTTTAAAAGTGAAATATGCATCTTCATGCATAGATTTATGATACCAAAAAGCTATAGATGTAAATATGAAAGTTTTGGTACTGATATGCAAATACATGAAACTTTGTGTGGTATGTATGTAGATTTCCCTAATAATTGATGTTAACTCGAACTATTGATGTTTGTCTGTATGATGGTTTAGTTTCAAGTTACTTTGATGGAAATTCTATATTTGTGTTTCTGATATATTTGAAGAAATCAAATTGTATCCTTAGGATTGCTTGAATTTATTGAGATACTTTTTCATTTCTGAGTTTGTTTCGCACAGGAATTACTAATTACTAATCCAAAATTCCAAAATTTCATATGAAATTTTTCGTTAATTATCCTAATAGCATGTAATATAATATTAATATTATTAATCATAAATTTTATGCTCTGATAGCTCTTTTGTTATGACTAAATCCAGATGTTTTGAATTTTTAAGATAGGAACAAATAATTGCACAGTGAAATTTAAACTTTCTATTTATAATATTACACTAACTAATCAATGGAATCATTCAAATAATTGAAATGATTAGTAATAAAAAAATATAAAAAAAAAATTTCTATATAAGCCACTTCATTTGCATACGTTTTCTATTCTTTCATTTAATTTTATAGTCTAATTATTTTAATCTAAATAATTACTTGAAAATATAGTATACTATCAATTAGCTAGTGAATGATCTTACTTATAAACTATAATAACATAATGAAAAAAATAACATATATGTTAGTCAAAATTAATAAATTGGTGTAAAAGAAAAATAGTATTCAATCATTATCATCAAGAAGGTTCAAAATAATTTATCATAAAGTACAATATATTATCTTATATATATTATTTGCATCAATCACAAAAGTATTGTTTAAATCTTATATTAACTAAGATACATGAATACTAATATTCTTTTGTAACTATGTGTACAAGTACTTTAACAACAACAAGAACAAAACCTTCATCTCCTAAATGGGGTCGACTACATTAATCATTTCTCCATTGTGTCCTATGTAGTGTCATATTTTTATTTAATTCTAATAAATTAAGATCATTTTTTTATATAATATGCCCAAGTCTTCTTAGGTCTACTTATTTCCTTTCTTAACATGTCGAATCTAAAACATCTAGTCTTCTAATCAGATCATCAGATAGTCGATGTTTAATGTGACCAAACCATCACTAATTTTTTCTGTAACTTGAGCTACACCAACCCTATCACACATGTAATGATTTTGCATTTTGTCTTCAAGTGTAAAGCCACTCATCCACCTAATCATTTACATCTCAACAATGCTTAACTTAGTTTTATGGTTCTCTTTCAAAGGTCACATTCAGTTCCATAGAGCATTGCAGGTTTCACCACCATCTTATAAAATTTTCTTTTTAGTCTAATCAATACTTTTCAATCAAACAATAGGCCTAAGGCATTCCTCCACTTCAACCGACCAACTTCAATTATACAGGCACTTTAACGTCTACAGTTAATATTATAAAGGTGTCGACTCCAGTACCTAAGTCCAAGTGGTGTGGCCTCGATTAAATTTGTTGAGCAGCTTCGTGTTAATGTAGCGCACCACCTTGCTCCAATTTGCTCCTAGATCGGGCCTGAGTAACTGATCCACCTTAAAATTACATATTTTTTTATGTACATTTTATGCTCAATTTTTTAGGATATTATGATTTAATGAAGGATATTTTATGTTTTTGGTTGCACGTGTAAGAAAAACAGTTTAAGAGTAAAAAAGTAGCAAAAATACATCAAAAATGAGTAAAATGGGCTGAATTGAAGAAAATTACCAAACCAGTCGAGCTGGCGCCTAGGTGTCAGATGCAGATACTTGCTAATGCCTAGGCGCGTCAGTTATTTTTTAGAAGATTCATTGAATTAGACTGAATTTTAAACAGATGTCTGAAGCAATCCTTGGTCATTTTTTAAGCTCTATAAATATGAATTAAGTCTCACATCTTCCAGGCTCGTTTGGTCTTCAATCTTTGAAGAAATGGAGCTGGAGGTTTTTCTACAGTAATTTTCATTGGTTTGATATGACATTCTAACTCAAAATGAAAATCTTTATCGGATTTTTCATTTTCCACCTCTTCTTTCTCAACTTCAAATTCCACTTCTTTTTGAACTTTTGTTTCCAATTCTTTTCCACTTCTCACTTGAATAGCCTTAATTTGCTCTTCGTTCTGATCTTTAGGATTAACTTCAACATTACTAGGCAATGTTCCTGGAGGTCTATTGCTAAGTGCAGTGATGCGGGTGGATTTAGTGTGTTAATTTTGCAAGTATTTTTCAATATTACAAAATACACACAGCAGATATAATAGCAAATATGTAAATTAACCTCAACAAAATAACTTCAGTTAAAATAGTTTTATCTTTTAAAAATCTTTAAACTGTCAAATCCCCTTTAAAAATAATGCAAGTATGAGTATTACTCAAGTAATAAAAGGCTCTAATAGAATCTTAGATATCGATCCCACAGGGAAGTTAGAAATGTCTATGAATAAGTTCTTAAGATTATAGAGTAAAGTAAAATTTTATAAATACAAAGTAAAGTGTGAAGCTTGAATACTAAGTAACAAGTGAATGCTAATTAAATTGCAGTTGAAAAATAAAGTTAACTAAACTAAATGTTAAACTTTCAAAAGTAAACTTACGAAAATTAAAACTATAATGTTGTGATAGAAAGTTCAAATTTAAGAAAGCATCCTTCCCCTTTACAATGAGTATATGGATTGTGAAGAAATTAAAATCATTTCAATATAGAGTTTCATCCCTAAATCTATGGTTAAGTAGAGAGGATGCTGGCTACCACTCTAGAGCTCCCACTACTCCCTCCCCTAAGGGCTAACAACCCTCATCTGAGGAGCAGCCCCGATCAACCTTCATAAGTTCCTTACTCGGCAAGGAAGAGTCTATGGAGCAGATCAAGTTACTATCAGAATTCAAAGATTTCTTTGCATGGAGTTATGATGAAATGTCAGGACTATCAGCAGAAGTTGCAGTTCATAAACTCGGGGTGGACAAAGATATAACCCCAGTAAAGCAAGCTCCCTGAAGGATGCGCCTCGAGATAGAGCAGCAAATCAATGCTGAGGTGAATAAATTAATAGATGTTAAATTTGTAAGAGAAGAGTAATACCCTACATGGTTAGCCAATGTTGTGTCAGTTAAGAAGAAAAATGGACAAATCCGTGTATGTGTCGACTCTAGGGATTTAAATAAAGCGTGTCCAAAAGATGAATTTTTGTTGTTGATAGCTGAAATGATGGTGGACATCACTTCGACAAATGAAAATTTTTCTTTCATGGATGGGTCATCTGGATACAACCAAATCAAGATAGCTCTAGAGGATGCAGCACTTACAGCATTCAGAACACCGATTGGGATGTTTTGCTATACAGTAATGTCATTCGGGTTAAAGAACGTCGGAGCGACATATCAACGAGTAATGAAGAAAGATCTTTGACGATCTCATCCACAACCAAGTGGAATGTTACATAGATGATTTGTTCATCAAGAGTAAACAAAAAATAGATCATTTGTATGATTTGAGGATCGTGTTTGAACAATTACGATAATATAATCTCAAGATGAATCTCTTAAAGTGAGCCTTCGGCGTCACCTCTGGGAAGTTTCTAGGATATGTTGTTTGTCATCAGGGAATTGAGATCAACCCGGATAAGATTAAAGCTATCTTGGAGATGCCTCCTCTCAAAACCCTGAAACAACCATGTTCCTTCCAGAGGAAGTTGGCATATATGAGACGTTTTATTTCTAATCTCTCAAATAGGTGTAAGCCCTTCTCAGCATTAATTAAAAAGGATGTAAAATTTGTTTGGGAAGATAAATGTCAGCGGGCTTTCGAGAATGTTAAACAATATTTAATGACACCTCTTATTTTGGCAGCCTTTATCCCGGGAAAACCATTGATACTTTATACTGCGGCTTTAGAAGACTCTCTCGGAGCCCTGCTGGAGCCTTGCTAGCTCAGGTCAATGAAGAGGGTAAAAAAAATGCGCTCTATTACTTGAGTCTCCATCTAATACCGACAGAGATAAAGTATCCACCCATTGAGAAGCATTGTCTAGCTTTAATTTTTGCCGCCCAAAAACTTAGACATTACATGCTTTCTCATAAGATTACCCTTATTTCAGAAGTTAATCCATTGCAATATTTGATAACCCGACCAACACTTTTCGGACATTTAGCATAATGGTCAATGATTTTATTGCAATTTGATATAACTTTTTTTCTATTCTGTGTTATCAAAGGACAGATTTTAGCAGATTTTCTTATCGCATGCCCACTTCCAGCTGGGTCCCCTCTTAATGATGAATTACCAGATGAACATGTATTAAAAATGGAATTCTCCAGTGCGCAATCTTGGGA